AAATTCTCTTCATTTAAACTACGTCGAAATAGTTTTGCTTTTTACTCCACTTTACTTTTACATCAAAAAGTTTCTCTAAGCAGAAATGGTTTACATGCTCTGTTCTCAGTACTTGTTTCACCCAGGAGAATAATTTATGGCGCACCACCTCCAAACTCAATTTCCTGTTTAGATATTACTTAGTTTGTAGAAAACTGGCTAATGTAACCATGGCGATGATTAAACAGTACACCGGTGAGGCACACAACCCTACCTCAGTTTCCCAGGTGAATAATTATAAACTTTTGTGTAGTGTAATCGATTGCCCAACTCAAGCGTGACAATTAATTGTTTTAGAAAATAGAAATGTTTTAAGATGATCAAGGTTTATACTAAAGAAGAGAAGATATTCGCTGGTTATAATCGTTTAGCAGATCCTCATTTCAAAAATTCAGATACCTCTAAAACAACAGAAGCAAATAGAAGCAAATAGATCCAAAACTGGTATGGAAACGAATATTACGCCGTCACAAAACGAACTTAAAAACAATGTTTGTAGGGATGGAAGCAAATACACTGCTGTGTTCAGCGGTTAAATGCATTTTCCTCCAGTGCATCATCTCCAGGTCTGCTGTGTGGCTTGGACCCGTCGCACAGTGACTCAGGCTGCTCTCCATTTGAAAAATTAAACAGTAGAGAGGGAGGTGGGTGGAGGTGGCGGCGGTGGGAGAGGCTGGAGTTGGCGGCGGCTAGGGAGTTGGCAGAGTTAAATGAGGGCCTCGGGATGAAGAGGGAAAAAAAAATTATAAAATAAAATAAAACATGCTGAGCTCAGCACAGCCTTTACAATCTCAATCACAGAGGAGGGAGCCGGAGAGCTGATGTAATGGCTGAAGTCGTGCTGCCACCGCCTTGGCAGAGGGTGGGGAGCTCGTCAGCACGGCCGCACTAATTCACCCCGCCACACACACCACCAATCACAAGATCCCCCCCACCCCATGCCGGATCAAGGGTACATCATGCCATCAGCGGGGCGGGGGGAGGGAGGGTAAGAGTTATGGTCAAGTGTAAGAGCAGGCACTCATAAGGTATAGGATGGGAGATTTAGTGACTTCTTTTCAGACTGAAGAGTGACAGAATGAGAGAAAGATTACCCCCCCTACCCCTCCAATGCCCCCCTCTCTTTTTGCACATTACAAAATGTATTGAGATTCTACAGAAAACGTACTTGTTACACCTTCCTTGAAAACTGAACACACTCCTCTCTCTTACGATCAGTCTTGGGGGCAATCAAGTAAAAATACAGTTATGGATTTCCAGAAAAAGAAAGGCGGCTGGTGTCAAGAAATTTTCTGGATGTCAGCATGTGGCGGTTGAAGAGAAATATTTTAGTTTTTTACAACCATGCCATGAGGCCATGCCATGCCTCTGGTCACTTTTATGCAACATTTGTGCAAAACTGGTCCACGAAACGGAAATGTATTCTCAAACGATACTTTAAAGCGGACATTTCATGCTTTTAAATACTTTCTTTTCATATTTAAATCATCTATTTAAAGTAGAACTGCAATGTTTTGGTCTGAATCCCTGGTTATTGTAGCTCCACAGACCACTTGTTTACCTGTTCTGAGGCATTTTAGAGCAACTCGTTACAGCAATTCTTTTTTAATTGTGATTGAGACATGACATGCCCCGCCCCCCTCCTTTACCCCTCGTTCGGCCATTTTTGTAGTTTGATTGCAGCGATACTATTATCTTCCACAGATGTCAACAACGGAAGACTTGTCCATCGTATCTTACATGTCGGAGCCAGAGTCTGACCCCGAGCAGGACAATGAAGACTACGAACACGACGAACCAGGCATTCAAATGAGTGTATTGCCATGGTGTTATTACCGTATTTATACCCTTTCTTTCTCTACCAACTATCTACAGTATGGAGCGTAGTTTAACTACAGTGTCCATGCATGTCAAATACCTTTTCAAGTAGTAATACTACCACAATATGAAAGAAGTAAACAAAGGCTCAACATAATTGAGGAGGTAGCTAACGGGAGCGTCAAGAACGTCACTGAAAGCATTTTAAATTTAAGGGCTAAAAAAGTGAATTTTACATATGTCCCCTTTGAAGTGCACTAGTTAATTAAAAAAACACTGACAGAAATTTCCTTTGTCAGAACAAATCAGAATACCCTAAGAAATTACACCTGAATGTAAGAATGTTTAGGTTTAAGACATCAGAAATGTGTAAACGCTTATAAGACATTCACAGTTGTTGTCTACAGGTCAGCTGGGTTTTCTTTGCTGAAGTGTCTTCAGGGAAAGCAGTTAATGTGTGTGTCCAAACTGAATTGTTCTCCAAGCTAAAGCTGGACACACAATAATAACTTATGTTCCGCAACATCGAATCCAAACTGGTGAAAAAGTGCAGTGATTTCTTCTAAGTCGTCACTGCCACCTGGTGTCCGAATACTGCCATTGCGTGTCCAGGATGAAAACGGATTTAAAACAACATCCGCAGTTAAGGAAATGTATGTTAGTTTTGGACATATTTACTTACATAAAAGGTATGGAGACATAATTCAGTTTCACGTTTTTATTTTGTACATTACTAAAACTGTAGTTGAATTCAAGGATATTTCACAGAAATTGTTAATTTTTTTTTAAAAAGCCCATTGTGACATAAAAAGACATATTTTTGAATACTGTAGCAGCATGTAGCATATATATATATATATATATATATATATATATATATATATATATATATATATATATATATATATATATATATATATAACATATTTTAGATTTTATTTACCTTGTGAGATAATACAACAAAAAGAAGTGAATCATTTTGAAATGGAGTAGGAAGCTATAAGATTTAAATTAATTAATTAATAATCTTTTTAATAACTATAAATCTAAAAATAATAATGTGCATTTCTATTCAGAAGATGCAAGTCCGTTGAGATATGTCGCCACTGCTTCTTCTTGACTAATAGAGACTGATTTTCGCAAAAAAGTCAAGATCAGTCAGATTTGATGAATTGGGATCTTGAAAAGACCATTCTTAAATGGTTTGATGATGATGATAATAATAATAATAATAATAATAATAATAATAATAAATTTTCCGAGAAAATTAATTATACTGGGGGCGTTTGGCCGATGACTGGTTTGAAATCGGCATTCTTCTGCTCTCCCCTGTCATCACATCCAGGAAGAACAATCGAGTATCACAGCGGCACATCCTGCGCAGGAACTCGGACATTATCAGAGCAGAGATGGTAGGTTTGAATGAAGCTGAATGCCGCTTTATCACTTTAATAATATGCGATATGTACATTAACAATAAAACGTCCAATTAGTTATTGTTGTGTTGCTATTTTTGATCAGGGGTTCATTTAGTCAGTCTATGCTAAGCGTTAGCCTGCTAAGTTGTGTCTGCACTGTGAGTAAGCAAAACAGCTTCAGTAGCTGTTAGCATTATAAGTTGACTCAGAGGGAACGTGAAGCAACTTTTCTTTAAAGTCCACTGTGGAATACTCGAGAACACATCTCCTTAAACCACATAATAAAAACTGAGAAGCTTATTTGTGCGGTTAAGTCGTCGGCAGCAGCGTACCACAGAGGTGCTAGCTGAAGTTAGCCGCACCAGATTGAGTTAGCATAAATGCCCTGAGCGGAGGGAGAACCGTGGCTTTACTTTCGCTTTGTCTCAGGTCACTTTCTTTTTATTAAAATAACATGATATATTTGTGTTGCATTCTTATATGTAAAGAAATTCGCTTGGAGAAATCTTTAGATAAATTTAATGTGTATATTTTAATCCAATTGACGCTACAACTATAGTGTAGACTAATAAATGGTTCAAGCTCGCATTGGTTACTGAGTTGTCATCGTTTAACGTGGGTTTATCAATTATTTAGCCGCTATTCGGTCATTTAAAACCCCTGACTAAAACAGCCCAGGCTTTAGACGGGCACAGAACCGGGTGTTACGTTTTACCTAGAAGGTTTTTTTTTTTTAAATTATTATTACTGAACACATATTTTCATAAAGAACTTCGTGATTATGGAAGATAATTACGTGCGTCTGGTTCTGTTGTGTTTTTCCAGCTATCAAAATGTATAATTTGTTCTACATTCCTTTTGAATTCTTGCTTGTTTTCTCTCTAGTTCCGCAACCAGTACGACAACGATGTAACAGTATGGAGCCCTCAGGTGAGTCTCTTCCCCCCAGGCTCCAGTTGCACCGAGTTCAAGGCCGTTTTCTGAGCCGCTTCTGTGTCCGCAGGGTCGCATCCATCAGATCGAATATGCCATGGAAGCGGTGAAGCAAGGCTCAGCAACTGTGGGACTGAAATCCAGAACACACGCTGTCCTCGTTGCACTGAAGGTACGATCACACAGCCCTACAGCCCTCTGGGGTGGGAAGGGAAATGTGACTGTGTTAGGATTTTACCGATTTTAACATCAGAGTAGGTGGTTCTGGTTGGCGTGCATACATATCTGACCTGCTAACAACAGATCAGAGCTGATTACAACCTCTGGTTCATTTACCAATCAATACTGTTTTCAATTCAAATTCGAAAATGCTTTTGTGTTCCCAAAGGGAATTTGAATGTTGCTGTAACTCATATTAATTCAGGATTCTGAATAATAGTAAACATAACTACAAAACTTTGTGTATGACTGATACCCATGAAATAATACTTAGTTTTGTGTGAAATAACATATTTTGTCATGATTCTACCGAACGTCTTCATGCCTTTTCAGAGAGAATAATGTGCTTGTGTCAGATTACTGACAGAGCTCATTAATTTTAATCATTCCTTTTGTTATCTATGATCTTAGCATCTCATTTTGTTTTGGGAAAACGACACCTTCCAAGCAAGATGTTTGTGTAAAATGTCAAAACACTCAGATTTGGTATCATCAAATTTTGTTTTAATTCTGAACAGAGAGCCCAGTCTGAACTGGCTGCCCACCAGAAGAAGATCCTGCATGTTGACAACCACATTGGCATCTCCATCGCCGGACTGACTGCTGACGCCAGGCTGCTCTGGTAGGACATGAAGGACGTCCAACACCTGGAACAAGCTGGATGTTGGACATTTCAGAGACGTCAATAAAAACTCTTGACATATTTTCTTTCTGTCAATATTATGGCATTTAGTAAATAAAAATAATTCTGGTGATTCTGACAAGAGAAGTTTGGTCTGATTGAACTTCAGATTATCCAGCCACTCAGCTCCTTCAGACTAGCCAGCAGCAATTAGCAAACACCTGGTGGAACTGAGCATCTACTGAGCTCGTTATAGGAGCAACTGCTCAGTGAAACACTGGTTAAAAAAAAAAAAAAAAAATTTTAAAGGCTTCATAGAGGAATGATGTTGAGATGACTTCCTGGAGGCGGAGTTTCAGAAAGAGTAAGAGTTTCTTAAAGAAACAGAGGCCCAATTTCAAATTTCTTCTGTCATATTTGGTATATTTACAAAATTTTTATAACAATTGAAGCTAACAGAGTGCTGTAAAATGCCACTATATATGCTTGGAATATACAGACTACTTCCCCTTTAAATAGATGGATTTTCTCTCACCTCCATCTGGCAGACATCAAACAGGAATATGTCTCTTAACCAGATTAAACCTGCTTGTATGTTTTGACTAATCGGACCTTTAACCTTCTCTCTTGCAGTAACTTTATGCGTCAGGAGTGTTTGGACTCGAGGTTCGTCTTTGACCGACCCCTTCCAATTTCTCGTCTCGTTTCACTCATCGGCAGCAGTATCCTTTCCGTTATCAAAGTTCTCATTTGAAAAATATTTTGAACTTTAGGATCAGTGTTGGGACTAAAACCAAATCAATACTAGACCGCTGAAAATGACGTGGTGCCCAATACATGAATAGCACACAAGCTTCTATCCATTGGAATGAGGAAAGTAGAACTGGTTCTACTGGACTAAACATGATCATTTAAGTTTATACAGTTATCATTAACTGCATAAACAAAATGGACAAAAAAATATTGGTATTGACCCAAATTGGAGGGCAGACTTTATAAAGATCTGTGATTGGTCAAAAAGCTTCCTCCTGACAGTTTGCTTCCCTTCGTCTGCTTGTTTATCACAAAGCAAGTTACAGAAAAAATGACGACTCATTTCCAGGAAAAGCAGCGAATAAAGAAAACAAGCAAATTCAACGCTTAGCTAAATGTATTTTTAGCCCTAGTTTGAAAAAGTGGGATCCTGAACTGAACCCATAGAAACCCAGATTCCCACACAGCGCTACGGGAGGAGGCCCTATGGAGTTGGACTCCTCATCGCCGGCTTTGATGTAAGTTTTTGCTGTTTGGATTTAGAGTTCCAGCGTTAACTTGAAGCACGATAAGTGGAGCGCTGAGATCTTTCTGTCTGCCAGGACATGGGGCCTCACATCTTCCAGACCTGCCCATCGGCAAACTACTTTGACTGCAAAGCCATGTCGATCGGAGCGCGCTCCCAGTCTGCACGCACCTACCTGGAGAGGTGCATGGACAAGTTCCAGGACTGTAAGATTCTGATTTTATTCAAAACTCATTGAGAAGCGTTTCGTGACGTCATTCAGTAGTGAACCTTGATGTTGGCAGGTGCTCTGAATGAACTGGTTCAACATGGCCTCCGCGCTCTCAGAGAAACGCTCCCCACCGAGCAGGACCTCACCACCAAGGTACCAGGTTCCCTTTCAGTCGCGCTGGCCAAACCAAACCTTTTACAAAATTGCCAACTGTAAAATACAGTTTAAAAAAAAAAACACAACTCACAAAAAGAGATTTATTTTCCCTGCATAAACCATAAAGAAATATGAAATATTTTAACTAAACAAAGTAGATTTTTTTTGTAGGCAAGGAATGTATAAATCATTGTAGATCTAAAGTTTCAAAAGGGTTTTCCTTATTGGAATAAAGGCAACCACTTTGATTTATTTTGTACGATGAAATATTAGGATCAAGCTAAGAAAACAAAATTACGAGAATAAAGTCAGTATAACAAGAACAAAGTTGTCATTTTTTCGAGAATAAAACCGTAATGTTATGAGTATTCTCGTAATACAACTTTATTGATGGAAAACTATGACTATTCTCAGAAAACCACAACTTTATTCTTGTATTACAGCTTTATTTTCATACAACTTTATTGAGAGCATGGAGATTTTCTGTTGGGGCGATTGGTTCATGACGAATGAATGTGTTGCAGAACGTCTCCATCGGCATCGTGGGTAAGGACATGGAGTTCACCATTTACGACGACGACGACGTGGCTCCGTTCCTGGAGGGGCTGGAGGAGAGGCCGCAGAGAAAGGTACAGCGCTTCGGCTCACATCACGTCGCTTTTCATCTGAACGAATATCCGTGAACTAAAACACAATCTGTATTTCCGTCCAGGTCGCCCAGCCTGCAGAGGAGCTGGCTTCTGGAGAAGCACCCGATGAGCCGATGGAGCACTGAGGGAGCAGAGCCTCCGTAAAACCCCCAGACCAACCGGATGATGCGGCTCTGTAGAGGAGAAGGCTGTCGTGATGTGCCACTCACAAAACTGTTCATTCAAATTAGTCTTTGCCTACATCAACCCATGTAACATTTTTTATTGTATGGGTAAAATCTACCATTATAGTAATAAACATCCCTTTTTTTGAGTTGTGCTTTTGGTCAATTTTTTATTTTTTTTTTTAACGGATTTGAGTCCAAAACGTTTGATCAGAAGTTTAAACGAACGTCAAATATGAGGAAGCAAAAGCATTTATTGTCTTTCAGAATATCTTAATACTTTCTGTCTGAACTTGTGTGCTTTTCCGACAACAACTTTCTAAAACATCCTCATATGTTTTCAGGAAAAAACGTTTTCAGTTTGCATGCTAAAATGTAAAAACATGGAAAACACAAGGAAGTCTGAAAATGTTTTGAAACGGTAACGGCGATCCTTAAGCCCGTCTTCTTTCTGATGTGGGAAACGGGCAGATCGAAGCCAGAACCAAGTTAAAAAAATAAAATACATAAAGTCTCTTGCATGATTACATATCTGCACAGTTCAGTCACAGTTTTTTAGTTTGATTCTCATTGGCCTGGCTATGTAATTTATAAAATATTTTATCACTTTTTATTAAAAAAAAGTTGAGCTTTTCACAATTTTAGATGGTGATGAAGTAATAAATTAGAGCTTATTGTTGACATAACTTTCCAATTCTAAACATTTGCCTTCATATGTGAACAGCTCCTGCCCAGATCAACCTGCTCTGTGTGATACCAAGTTCTTTTATGCCTCGGTCCGGCCCGGCTTCTATGATCAGTCCACTCTAAACAGAACATTTCAAATAAATCAATAAAAGCCCAAATTTAATACACCAGTGATGATTGGCAGACAGTTTTTGTCAGAAATAGTAAAATCCCATAAACAGGTTGCTGGGTTAATGTCGGTGTTACAGTATGAACTTAGCTTATTAAACGGTTCATTTAAATGCTACTTTACGATACCAAACCTTCAGGTCGAACCGTTCCTGACGCTCAGGTTCTGCTCTCTTCCAGTTCAAGTAAAGATAACCATGGCTGGTGTTGTCATGCTAACACCAGCTGCCATGCTACGGCCAATCTGCTGAGAGCACCTAAAGCCCGAGCTAACGTTGCTAAGCCTCCTGGGAGAGTCAGGGTGCGGCTTTCTTGGCCTTCCTTCTCTTGTTCCTCCGTCTCACTGAGCCGCCGGATGTTTCCGTCGCCACAGGTCGGTTGAGCTCGTGGAGTTTCTCCTGCTCCAACATGGACGTCACCTTCAGGGTGAGCTCCAGCTCCTTGAGGCCCCCGGCCAGGTCAGGCTGAGCACTTTCCATTTTGTGCTGATGCTCTGTCTCCTCCTCTTTTACTCTTTCTTCAGTGTCTTCAGACTCTTGACCTTTAACCACCTGGTTGTCCGAAGCCTCTTCTGTTCTGTCTGCTTCAGGTTCTCCTTCTGGGCTGTGCTGACAGCAGCACTGGGTACCGTCCCAACACGGGCGAGGTTCCTCTGGATAGTCTGGGAAATGTTGGAGCAAATACAGTCACTAGCTATGTCTTCATTACAAACTTTTTTGATATTCCACTAATGACAAAAAAAATAATACCGTATTTTCTGCACTATAAGGCGCACCTAAAAAAAACCTTCAATTTCCTCAAAAGCCGACAATGAGCCTTATAATCCGGTGCGCCTTATATATGGACCAATATTGAGCCACGACAAGTCTAGCAACTACGGTAAGCAGCCGCCGACTTCATTTTCGCCCTAGAAGAAGAAGCGTGCGGTGCATGCTGGGATAGTTGTCAGAAAGCTGGTTTGTTAATAAAGTTTGACTGACCTATCTACCTACCAACCTAACAATCAGGTCATCTGCAGGATGTTTCGCTAATGTTGGAAAAAAAACAAAACAAAACACAATTTTGCAACGACAGTGTTTCCATTAAATAAACTCAATTAAAATCACATGTGAAGAAAGTCTGTTCACACAATAAGTGGCAACGTCTGGTTGCGGATCATGTGACTTGAGTGATGCGAAAAAGGTCTTTCCATTAAAGTTTGGTGAAATATACTCATTTTGATACAGCACAAAAACCTTTTATTGGAGAATGTTAATTTTTTTTTACTTGGTATTTCCATTAAGCAAATTTATTTTCATAATTCCAATTTGTGTGGTTTATGTGCTCAAAGGAGACCTAACTACTGTTTCTATCGCAGTTTTGCAAATATTCAAATTTCGATACAACTGAAAAACTAACTCATGTTGGCACGTAAACCTTTTTATTATCAAAAAACATGACTGTTTTTCTTTTTTTTTTTTTGGAGTGTTGCAGGAAATTCATTTTCGCAATTCCAGTTTGCGCAATAAAATAATCAATGGAAATGGGAGATGTAGCTAGTGTTTCTGTTGCAGTTTTGCAAAACACACTAATTTTGATACAGATGAAAAATGACCTCATACTAGCACAAAAACGTTTTCGCAAAAAAAAGACGTGTTTTTTTGAAATTGCCATGTTTCTATTGAATGAATTTATTTTTGTGACTTCAACTATATTGTCAATAGAAACACAGTTATTGAGTTTTCTGAACTTGTTTGGAATTTGGTGAGTTTGCAGTATTCCCTCACCGTCCCAGCCTTCCTGGACCTTCTTCTCCGGCAGGATCCCGTCCACCAGCTGGCCCTCCTGCATCACTCTGGTTATCTCTGACAGCTGCTGCAGCAGGCTCTCCTCCTGGTCGGCAGTGACCCCCGTCACCCTGCAGATGCAGTTGTAGTTTCTAGTTTGTTTTTCCAGTTTAGTGCAACCTCAACTCAAAAAAGTTAAACTAACATTTATTTTAGCAGACGAGTCACCTGTCAGGACTGTGGTGGGCGCTGGAGACGATGTTCTCCATCACCAGCTCCGTCTCCCTGAGCTTCTCCTGCAGCTGGGCCAGCTCGAAGTCAGCTGAGGGACCAAAGAGACGAGACGTTCAGACGGTGTGGAACCGATCGTACAGTCAGCCAACGCCAGTTCGGGAATATTGAGTTCACCTTCACTCCTTCCATAAGTTTTAGGGATGAAAGTATCAGCTAGATTCTGCTCTTCAAGGCTGTCTCCAGCATTTTACAGTCAAAATAACAACCAAAAAAAGATTATTTACACAATAAAAAACATTTGAGACATTGTTCCCAATCTTCACTGGACTGAAATTCCTTTAGGTTCAACATGTGGAGAAATTACAACACACCCAGGAGCTTCATCTGAGATTCAGAACGCTAGATGTTGAAGTTGAGAAACAGATTGAAAAAAGGTGGTTTCCACGGAGGGGTTGCTAGGAGAAAGACCCGTCTTTCTGAAACAAACATGGCGGCCCAGCTTAGGTTTGAATAAATGAACTAGGTCTCTGAATGACAGAAGGGACCAAAGTAGAAATGTTGGCAAAAAAAAAAAAGTACAATTATGTTAAACAATATTTTAGACAAGCAAGGATGTTTTTTCTTTTTATTGTTTATAAAAGTAATAAAAGGGTAAATCATCCATGGAAGTGAATACTTTTTACAGGCAAACGGTATCCAGATATTACAGAATCAACAAACAGGTTTATTAATGAGTTTAAACTCACTGATCTTCCTCTTCATATTCTCAGATCGATGTGGAAGACACCTTCTAGCTGACGGCTTGTTGTTCCCTTTAGATGTGATCTAAAAATACAACATTCCCAATGATTCTCACATCCTGTTGTTCTAGAGTAGAGCTCTAGTGCTCCTTCCTCAGGCCAGTGTCACATAATTGTTTTTATTTATTTATTTTTTACCTTAAATAAAATGTAGAGGATGTAGAGTAAGATCCCAAAGCCGTAAACGGGGATAATCTGACCCGCCAGGTTGGATTTGCCTCCGGTCCCGGTTCCTGTCCCGGCTCCTTTAGCCCTGGACATGGAATCAGAGTTATGGGCCCTGGAGAACCCGGACCCCGCTGCCCTCTGGCTACGGCCCTCTGGAGCCACCTGTCGTTGCATCATGGGAGGGAAATGGCCTGAGCCTGCAGGGATCGGACCAAGTTGGTAAGATGGTTGTCCAACCCAAACAGAACCAATGCAATAAAAACCCAAGTGAACAAATACTGGAACTTTTAACTACTTTAAGCAGGCTTTCAAATGATTTGGAAATCTGTTGTTATTATTATTATTATTATTTTCAATTTATATATATATTTTTTATGACTTTAGTGGCCTTTATTTCACAGTGAGTCAACAGGGAAGAGGGTTGCGAGAAATGGGGAAGACAGACAACGGGACTCGAACCTGTGACGGGCGCGTGGAGGACTGAGGCCTCCAAATATGTGTCGCGCGCTCAATCCCTATCCGTTTATAATGCTAACTTTTCTTTACGCTTCTGAAAAACTGGGTACATTCAATTTCTGACTTGGGTGTTTTGGCGCCACGCGTAGGGAGGAAAATGCAATTACAAGAAGAAGAATGATACAATTGTCTTGGAAATATTTCATGCCACATAACACAATAAACACACCCATCTCATAAGGCTGAAGGTGATAGAATTATGAACCTGCCCGAAACCAAAATACCACCAAATCAAATACAGGGACGGTTTTACGGATAGAAAATAAATGGCGACGCACCTTCTGGCCGCTCGGCAGCATCCTTCCTCCCCCTGGACAGCAGCATCTTGGGAAGCAGCAGCGCGACGCACAGCACGAGGCACGTCGCGAGGGTCACCTTCTGAAACGTTGACATTGACATACCGACAGGTGGGTGGCCGCCTTCCGGCTGTATCGCAGTGTTAAACAAACAGGTTGAAGTCACAAAAATAGAGAAGACATGATGGAGCAGTGGGACTTCCTCTTTGACCACAGGAGCGGAAGTGTGAATGAACGGCAATTACAATATTTTACCGCCAGGGGTCGCCAATGGACCGTATTTTAAATATCAATCGATAGAGAAAGTAAAGAGTGAAATATTGTTAAAATGGAAAATACTTGAGCTGACAAATATTACATGGGCTGCAAATGTGGCATTATTTGTGCTAAGCCTCTCCTAAACTAGACACAACATCAGCAGCGTCTTTCTTGTGCTACAGAGAAAAATTACTGGGCTGTTTACATTTGTACATACACAGCTAAAGATATGAAATTAAAATTCTAAGACACATAAAATGTCCAGGTACCCCAAGTATCTTTTACAAACACAATAGTTACAATGAAGAAGGTGTCATATTTCACCAAATGTTTGACCTAAATTCAAACTGTAATTTTTCATAACAAGTGTGGCTATTTTTTCTCCGCTGCTAGAACAGCCACAGGAAAAACATTTTGGTTATAAAAGCAAGTCACGTAGAGGACCAGGGCGGACTCGAACAGACAGATTTAGTTTCAGGTACCAACTACATTTTATTGGAGTTGGAGCTACAGAACAACCACATCATCTGCCACGACTGCCAAGAATGATCACCTAGGAGAGAGAACGATGCTGGTTAACCCCTGAACCAGCCAGTAGTCACTTTACAAGTGGTGAACATGGTCAGAAAAAAAAGCAGTGATAAATATCAACCAGGAATATAAACAGGCAATATGAACATTGCCGTGGCGTTCGGCAGACGATGTTAGGCGGACGATTGTGCCTTATGTTGCACTCCATAATCGCTCAAAACACACGAGGCTAACTCCCTGCTTTGGTTTATCTGATGAAAATGCTTCAGAGTTTGTTCAAACACTGATCTTTTTATCTCACACAGCGTACTAAAAGAAGAAAATCTCCTACTCGAGCCTCCTTCTGCCAGATCTTATGACACCTGCTGACTGAGATGTTTACTTTGCAGAAACACCAGGGGCGATTTTAATGGGCCTTTTAAATTCTGTGTTTTAGGTTCAGTATTTAGTGTCATTCTGTTTTTGTTTTTTAACAATAATTTCAATGTTACAAAGCAAGTCCATCCCTGTCCGTTAAATCTGGGTATATAATAAGTGAAGAGCGCCATCTAGTGTATGTTCAGATATATTTCTATTCGACCTTTTCTGTAGGATTTTATTCTTGCAGAACAAGCAATCCTGTCTTTGACGTAACATAAATAAAAGGCAGACAAACTGTGATATAATTCCAGTTTAATAAATCAAGAAAAAAAAGCAGCAAGGGAAACAGTTTGAATATAATTAAAGTGGGCTGGAAATCTAAGTTTTATTTTTTTACTGTTATTATTATTATTATTTCGTTTTCCTCCAAAAATGACAGCCAGGAGAATCCGGCAGTCTTCGAGCTCCTGATTCCTTTCCTGACTCACTTCATTCGTCTGTTGTATCAATTTTTTGCTGTTGTTGTTATTTTTTTTAACAAACTCCTCAAATTATTGTCAGAATCCACAACGCTCCAGTTCGCAGTCCATAAAAAGCATTGTGGGAAACGTCCTCCTCACAGTTTCTCCAGTTTCACTTCCTGGCTGACCTCGAGCTCATCTGATCGGAATGGTCAGTTTTTTAGGGAACTAACCACGCAGCTCTGCAGCAAAGAGTTCAAACATCGGCCGCGGCGAATGTGTCCAATCTGAGATTTTCTTCTTTTTCTTTTCTTTTCTTTCTTTCTTTTTTTTTATTTTACATTCTTCAGAGTTCAGTTTGAAGCGAGAAGCTGATGAACAGTGTGCTGCTGTGAGTTTCATGGTCCAGCTGGCTCTCAGTGGTCCCTCTCCAGATCTGCTGTGAGAGAAGAAAATATAAAAGATCCTCGGGTCACTTTGCAGCAGCGAAAAAGAAGAAGAAGAAAAAAAACACTTCACAAGTGTTTTTCTGCCGTAATATACTCCCTAGACCCCTTATTTAAGAAACATTTCCCAACACAATAACTATTCTAACTTTTTTTATTTATTTATTTTTTTTTTTAGTGTCATCCAACTTTTCTTCCACCAATATAAAACTTTATAGATTTGGCACTCATTTCCAGATTTGAACACATTGGAAGGAACTGCAGCCCCTTCCACTGTTACATGGAGCGCCTTGTGAAACTAATAATTCTCCAGAGACCTTTGCACTTTTAGAACCAAAGATTTCTGCGCATTTTGTTGGTATTTTATACGATAGTCCATCACAAATGTGCACAGAATTGCAGAGTGGAAAAAGAGTGATACTCTATTTTCAAAAGATTTTACAAATAAAAATCTGAAAAGTGTGGTGGGGGGCTTTCTCTAATGCATTAATAATAGAATAAAAATATTTCTTTTAGCACTTTATAGCTTTTTTGTTAACTTTAGAAATGTTTAGCGCACTTAGCTTCTGCTAAATTCTATTTTCCTAATTTACTAGGCTGCTTTGCAAACGTTCAGTTGAATAAAGTTTGACGTCTGTGTTAAACTTTTGGTTACCAACTGTTACAAATTCACGTAGTTAGACGTTTATGTTCATGGTCTAATTTTTCATTTAGCACTTTAGTGTTTTTGCTAGCTCTGAAAATGCTTAGCTCACTTTGTTTCATTTTGCCAGATAAATTATAACTAATAACTAATAGCTTAGCTGGTTTGCAAAACTTTCAGGTGAATAAAGTTTGACGTCTGTGTTAAGAGTTTTGGTTATCGGCTTAAGAAGTTGATGGGACTGTTTGTGCATCGGTTCTGCTTCCTCTTCTGACGTTCTCCACCTGTGATGCTGAGCAGCAAATTATGCTTATCCTGTTTGTAAAATGCATTGCTGACAACAACATCTCCTCAGCAAAACATTGAGAGATGGAAGGCGCTAACCTGTTTGAGGCGGCGTTAGAGCTCAGGTTGTGGCAAAGTTTTCCCTTCCAAACAGAAAGCCAGACACACAACAAGAGGGTTTAAATCACAACATTCTCATGTTTTTTAATGGCCCTGTCAAAGTCCAGTTATACTGAAAGTCTGTGGCAACACTTAAAATTTACTGTATACAGATGCTCTGCATGTAGTTTGAGCTTCAGCTATTTTTCAAAAGGGAAGAGGCAAAACTTCCAGTTTCCAGATGTGCAAAGCTGGCAGAGACAAAACCATAAAAAGATTTGCAGCTGTAATTGCAACCAAAAGGTAATCTGAAATATCATACATTTACTTTTTTTTCTTCTTTTTTTTCAGTTCATCAAAAGCACGCACCCCCTTCCTTTCAATTCACAAACCATACAAATTCAAATTTCTCCACCTTGGATGATTCTTTTTTTTTCTTCTTCTCCTCTGAGGAGTTTCAGTCTCTGGTGTGAAGTATCATATCTACATATGGTCTTATTTGGGAGGCGTTGGGGGGGAATAACACTGTCACGATATCTAACGGATGGTTTGGTCCAAACTGTCAGCGCAGCTGTGTGGGACTGCGCTTCACTGTTATCAGAATATTACCTCTCATTGTGGCTGTCTGTCAGAGCCTCCATTAAGATGGCCTCCTTCGTAGTCCAGCTGGCACAGGATCATGTTGTTCTTGAGGAAGAACTTGTCTCCCACGCAGAATCTGCAGAGAGAAACAATCAAAATATGAACCGGCTCCTGCTTCTCGCCGGACCTCAAATGAATCGCGAGGTTTTCCCACGAGAATGTTTTCTTTTTTTTTTCCAGGCATAATTTCATACCGCATACATCTACTGCTATTATAATCAAAAAATTAATCTTGCATAGCCACGGCCCTGATTAACTATTCAAGTGTCAGACAAAGTCTTTAACCCTTCGAGGTTTTTTTTTTTTCTTCCTTCCTTTCTTTCTTTCTCCGCTGTGGATTTAATCAAGTTGTGATTACGCCTGCACTAATAGTGTGCTCACCAGTGCACCTTCCAGATAAGTCAACTGAATTTGATCTCCCTGGCTAATTGCTCCCCTAATCTTACCTCTGGCGGCAGAGCTGACAGGCAAAGCAGTCTAAATGGTAGACGTTGTCTCTGGCTCTCATCACCATCTCAAAGGCAGGGATCAGCTTACTGCAGGCTGCACAGTTCCCCGTCACCCCAAAGAGCCTGCAGAGGGAGAGCAGGGCGACACGCGGGCCTTTAATCTGGGCGCGCACATGGATGCATTTCACCAAAGAGCTGCGGTGTGGGGGAAACACAATATAAGCTGGTCTGCAGAGGAATTTGTACCGTCTTGTACTTTTGTTTTTTTTTTTCCCCTCCAATCCTTTCAAAACATTACAACGAAAGGCTTTATGTGTGTTTTGTTGTGATTTTACGTGACAGGACAGCAGAAAGTAGGTGGTGGATAGTTGAGTAGAAAAGAAAAAAAAAGGTATCGCATTTATCTTTTATCGTGATACATTTCTTATCATGATAAGAATTTTGATTCATCGTTTAACAATATATTCTAATTAATGATGCTTAAAAGCCTCCAAAATGTCTGGATTATCGGATTTGCTGTGTTTGCTAACTTCTCCACCGTCTGCTCAATGAAATCATTAAATATCAATAAATGTGAAAATATGATTAAATGCTGTTATGGTGTGAAGCTCAGCAATACAGATCTAATTTTTTTTATGTGACTGGCATCCTGAAGAAACATGTTACAAATGCGAATGTTTTCCAAGAGCAGTATTTGTGTTTGTGTGGCTATAGTTGCTGTTCCCCTTCAAAAGAAACAATAAACAGTTATCATCACTTTTATTGTTATCGCGATACTACCACAAACTATGGTGATAAAACTTTAAGTCCATGTCCCCCACCCATACTTCCATGCATGTTATTTATTTCCAGTATTGAGAAAGATGTTTGGTTAGATGTTTGTTAGAGTCATGAAAACTAAATCCATACTCGTTTTTTGGCTGATATCGAAACAATTTCCAATATTAGCATCAAATTAGGACAATCCTGTTGCGAACCTTTCAAGATGTCTCCGTCTGCATGAACTGACAAGTCAGGCTAGGAGAGCTTTAGTCAGAGAAGCAGCCAAGAGGCTCATGGTAACTCTAGAGGAGTAGTACAGCTCCACAGAAGGCCAATATGGCTAAAAAATTCATCTGGGCAGAGAGCTTTCTCGAATTAATACTTTTTCAAAATAAATAAATAAATAAATAAACCTTGGGCTCAGAGTGATGTTATGAAATAAAAAAATTTCAAATGAAAGACAACCTGGTCCTAAAACACCAAGCTGGAGAAGAAGCCAGCATCGTCTTTGGAGTATTTGTAGTTTTTCACCCACTAAAGACATAATGGGACCTAAACAAAACAGGCTTCAATTTGGAAGGACATTTCTAACAATGTGACTGTAAAAGTTAAATGTTTTTTTTTTTGATATTGTTGACACTCAAATACTGTTAAAACTCACGTTTGTGGTAGAAGCATGACAAATTACCAAACACTTTAAGGGGTGTAAATACTTTTTCACTCAACTATGAAGAAAGTAAGGGTGTTAAAAAGTTGCTTGTGTGTTTCAGTGAGCAGCACAGATGTTGCTAATCCACCATCTCCAGATAACCAATTTACTGCTTTCTTTCTAGGGGTGATCTGCATTTCTCCCAGATTACTCACCAGAGTCGTCTAATCACATCATCTGTATACGCAGCCAAGTGTGAGAAAGGGACTCAAATCAACATCCAAATTGTAATTATGGGAGCATGATGGGATGAGCTTCTCATAAAAAGAAACTGCACTCTACGTTGTTAAAAAAAACAAACTGCTGCAAACCATTAAATTTATCATCCACTCATCCTCCAAGTTGTCCGATTGCAGGTCGCAATAAAAGAAAAACGAAACGGCCCCCCGACTCCCAAGCTTGGAAGTGGAAAATGGTTAATGTTTGCACATGTTGAAAACTGATGGATGACAGGATTGTTTCAGAAGTGGCAGCCCTGAGCTGCCAGTGCTGCCACTGCCCTCACTCACAGGGTAACAGTGACTTTCATCAGTCGGGTGTTCAGCAGCTCATCATCCGCTGCTCAGACCACTGCTGATCCGAGCAGCTTGTCACGTTTCAACACAAAACTATAATGTCTTCTGTTTGGTATTGTATGTGATAGATTGTATGTGCTGAGTCGCTAAAAAGTGACTAAAAGTGACTTTCTAGAACCAGGTTTTGGTGTGTGCTTATACCAGGTTTACACATCTAGATGCTGAGATTTTCCCCCACTGTTCTTTACAAAATGAATCAATCTCAGTCAGACTGAGTGAAGAGCCTCCACTGTTAACAATTTCCAAGTCTTGTCACACATATTTAATTAAATGTAGGTCTGGACTTTGACTGGGCCAGTCAAAAAGTATTTTTTTTAATCTAAAACCAAGAGGCTTTTTGTCCTGAGGGTCAAAAAGCCCTCAGGACAAAAAAAGCCCTGAGGGTCGTTAAGTTGAAAGCACTTGGGGACACAAAAATTATACTTTTTTTTAATAAAACATTTCTAAGACAAACTTTTGGTACCTTTATTTTATTTAAATGTTACTAAAACTAAGAAAAATAGTCTGATTGATTTTTGTACAAAATGGATCCACAGTTTCTACATTTTTGTAGGTTGTTTTCTTATTTGAGAAGTACGATTTGCTTTTGAGGAAAAAGTAGGCCACTGTTTCTGGTTCTAGTTGCTCCAAAACTAAGATAAATACTAAAAACGTTGTTGGTAAATGGGAATCCATATACTGTCAACAGGTTTCACAACGTAACTTTGATATAAATTTCTCCACAACTCTGCTCCTGACCTTTCTGCTTTGTCTGTTCTTTGGTGTTCATTCTAACCGGTGAGTTAGATTGTCACGATAACAAATTGTGCCTGCAATTATTGCGATAACGATAATATTGTTGTTTTGCGACTAGCGGTGGACGATATTGAATTTTATTGTGATGCTTTACAATACTAATATGATAACAATGTTGTTGCTTTTTTTAGGTAGCTGACTGTGAAAAACATTTCAATTTCAAACAGTCTTATGGGAGGAAGATTTATATCACTAACCAGCACACAGTAACTGCATTTAATCATATTTTCAGTGTACTGATGCTCTCAGGGAACAAACAGTGCAGAAATTAGTTATTTTAATATTTCCAATGATACCATCACTTTTGTTTCTTATTTAACATCAGTAATTGGAATTGATCAAGGCAACGATAAATCCAAGTTCTTATCACGATAATTTTTCACAACAGTTGATAAATGGTACAATAAATGTTTAATTTTTTAAATAAAGTCGGACGATTGGTTGCTCTGGATTTTGCTTGGCGGTGCCAGAATAAGGTCGGGCTGAAAAACAAAGGCGTGCCCCACTTTATAGATTTCCATCTTGGGTTAGGGTTCCACTTCCCCTTCGCAATCATGTCCTACATAATGTTAGTCTGTCTCATAAAATCCCAATAAACTGCATTAAGGTTTGCAGTAGCAACGTGACCAAAGCTCAAGGGGTGCAAATACTTTAGCAAGGCACCGCACTTCCAGTCTCTTATTCCTCTGCAGAATATTCCTCGCTTTGCTCGGGACGGTTTTATTTATGTCCGATTTTAGTCAGAAACAGCTGGCCAGAAATCTTGTGGTTGGGGGCTTTTTTTTTCTTTCTTTCTTTCCATCGGGGTATACAGTGTGATTAAAGGCCGAGCAAAGCAGCCAGCAAGCCTGGATTAAAATGAGCAAGCTCCCATATTTTAACAACGTTGTTGCTCTTCTGCCAACATTTCACGAAGACAAGCTCAAGGATTCTTTTCTGCTCTCATCAACACTCTGCTTCCTCTGATATGTGGCTGTATGATATTGAGGGTGTTTTTTTTTTCTTAATGGCTTCCCTTTATCAGGTCTTTTTCTAAAAAAAAAAAAAAACTGAAATGTTACCGATTTTAAAATGGAAAAGGGCAGGATCTGAACATTTTCCTTTAAAGTAACAAGTGAACTACCTGGGAACTAACTCTGTAGGGCTTTAAAACGCTCTGGCTCTGGCCAACTGCAGATGGCTTCACCTCTCACTCACCTCCAACAGAACGAACAAACAGCTCCCTCGGAGCCTAACATGCATGAAGACAAGTGGCCACGACTGATTTCCATATTCCATTAGAAGCCATGTAAAAAAAGGTCAAAGAGAAAGCATTTGGAAGAAAAAAAAATCCCTGACATTCGTGGTAGAAGAGGGAAAGAAAGGGGGGAAAGAAAGGAGAATTTGTATCCCACAGCCCGAGACAACAACTGAAAAACGTCATCAAATGAGTGACTAATGCGGGAACAAAAGCGAGCCCTAATTACCAGAATGTTCTGATCTAACGAGTGTGAGTCCTTCACAGGCACCTGGTGGTTTTTTTTTTTCCTCTCCCCTTCTCCTTAACGAGGCTACGAAGCTCAATGCTAATTCTCCACTAATGGTCCAATTAAAAGAAATCACATGGTTTTAATCCAGCTCTTCAAAGGCTTTTGGTCTGCACCCTTGCAATGATGAGGGAAACAGGAGGCAATCTAGCCAATTTAACTGTCAAAAGGGGTTTTGGTCTCCTAAGTGCAGCGCGGCTAATGAGCGACTTAGCTCCAACGAAATCCAGCTGGATTGTACATGAGACTAACACATGGGTTCGGCATCGGGGGCTGAGAAATCAGGAGTTCTAGCTGCTGACCTGACTCCACACGTTGCTAATTTGGTGGAGAAATTGTTTTGGGGTGTGACCTTCGGACCAGCCAGTTTTATAAAATCCTGTTGATTCAAATACTGCATTTGGCACCGCTGTGTTCAGTGAAGTCAAGATTTTTTGCACAGCACATTTCAGCAACAAGGCAGTTCAGAGTTCCTTGCGCCATAAAAACATAATATAATAAGCAATTATGAAATAGCAATACGCATTACATTTTGAAAATGGAAAGAGAATGACATGACTTCAAACTAGGGGTGTTCTGACACAACCTTTTCACTTCCGATACGATGCCGATATCACATCGTTCAGCACTGGGCGATACCGATTTTGACTCCATACAATATCAGAACAAATCATATTAGTTCTTTAATTCAGTAAACGTTCTTCAGGTGATAGAAGGCTGACTTTGTAACTCTCTTTATGTGTTTGTGAAGGTCCAGGTTATTACCCCCAGGTTTTGAGTTTGATCACTCGTCTCTAGCATGAAAACTACATTAATTTGGGATGATTTATTCCAACCAGGTTGGGATGATTTTACAACACTTCAATAATTTTGAAAAAATAAGAAGTGGGTGGATACGTTTGAATCTACTGAGGATTTTTTTTTTTTTTAATAATGATTGTATTCAATCGAGTTGATTTTATAAAGCTTATATGCAGACGCAATATTGCTGACTTAGCTTGAACAGTCAGAGGCATTTCAGAGAGGGGCTCGTTTTGACAAAGCTCCTTGGAGACAGAGGCCAGTGACACTTGTATTTAAGCAAGCTTCAATTTATAGCAAATTAGAGCCTGGGTGGTTCCCAAACATCCAATTTTTATTCTTACATTTGAGACATTTTTGGTTGTCCTGCAGGCCTTGACATCGCGTTGACTTAAACAAATCACTTGTTGTTTGGACTGCTTATTTGGGATTTGCTTCTTTTTTTTTTAACTGGATTTGAAGAACTTTCCCAACTTGATTATTTCTCAGTCCAATCAGTCCTGTCAAGGAAATCTTTTTTATAGCAACACAGAATCTACCATCTGCAAGCAGTCATCATCACCAGTCAGAAGTTAATGGGACTTGGCCTTTTCAAGTTAAACACATTCTACAACCATCAGCACCACTTATTAAAGGATTTAGAGGGATTTAGGCTGTGTATATATCTGAGTACAAAACCTTGCATGGATTAGATAAAATCTAGAGTAAATTCAGACCTGTGCAACAAATTATTGTTTTCCTTTTAATCAACTTGTGTATGGAAAAAGGTTTAATTAGCTTTTTAACATTAATGTATTTTGGCAGCTAGATAGGTATTCATTTTCTTGACGAATATAAAACCAAAGAAGTCCAAACCATAAGATATTTAGCTTCGCTCACCTCAGAAAGAGTAGGCTAAGTTAATTGTCTCTCGGGTGTTAGCTTGGTTTAGCATAGAGATAAGTAGGTGTGACACTGCTAGCTAGACAGCAAAAACAAAACCTCTGCAGGAAACAAGGGAATGTCTGCAATTACCATAACTGTAAGCTAATATTTTCCCTGAAAACCTACAAAGAATTGAGTTATTATTGTTTCTTCTGTCTTTATTCCATGCTATGCTAGGAATGCCACCTTTCAGAAATGAAAATAAGGGACACCGATCATGGTGAGCTTTGCCTGCCATATACATATATGATTCTTTACCAGTACATAGCAGCTAACAAGCTGCTATTTACTTATATATTTTTACCAAGACAGCTAAAAAGTATTTTATTTGTTCATTCCTCCTTTGTCTGAAAGAAAAACATAGCAATTGTTTAGTTTTCGTTAGTGAGTTAATCATGTTCTACTTTCCAAAAACAGCAAATATATGATATCTGAAGATTGTTAGCTAAGCATAGAGAGCTAACTGACCAAGCTGACAGGATTACCTTAAGCTAGCTAATACTAAAACTTCCAAATCTGCATTACCTAAGTTTGAACCTACTTTTACCTAACACAGCACATACATTTCCTGAAAACGCACAAAAATTGCTTTTTTGTGGTCTTAATGCTTTTGCCACATGCTTCTCTAACAAGCTTCCATCTCCATTGGGAAACTTTCATTGGAGAGAATCAACGTTGCCCACCATTTTTGTATTGGCGGTATAAAAGGAGAAAGGAGAAAAGACGTCAACATGTTGGTGTCTAAATGTGGTTAAAATGTGTTTGAGATTGACCAAATTCTCTAACCAAGTCTGACTTTCAATGTCTTGGTTTAGCCTAAATTTGGACACGCCCTATAGGCTAAAAACATTCAACATGTGTTACTGTGCTAAACAGAGACAAGGACTGACCAACATTAAGCAGCATAACAAAGGCATCCACAGGCATTACAGGCCTCCTGTCTCTCGTTGCTTATTCCTTTGGAAAGAAAGCTCATGGTTTTCCCTTACAGAGGAAGCCAAAACACCTGTATTTCAACATCTTTTTTTCCCCCGTCTATTCTCTGCAGAACAAATCAAACAGAGGAAATGTTTCCTAATTCATTTTAAGAAAATAAGGGTAAGTCTATAGAAAGTTCCAACCCCACTGTTCTGGCTTCACTCTACATTTCCTGACAATGACTCAAAACATACTAAGAGGTCAGCAGCTTGTCTCCTTTGTTCCTGCATTCATTCTTCCAACTGCGTGAGCTCGCTGCTGACTGTTGCATTTGGTGTCACTTCTCCCAAATCCTTGAACCCTCTAGCAAGTTTATGTGTCGAAGAATGTAAAATTGTTGCAGTATGATTTGCGCCTAAGTTGAACAACACCATAGCAAATAATCAAATGCTATCCATTGTCTATTCCGGCTTATCCTTGCAGGGTCGATATCTCTAGCACTAACTGGACGAAAGGCAGGGTCACATAGAGACACACAGCATAAACAACTAAGCACACACACTCACACCTCAGGACATTTCGAAGAGACCAATTAACTTGACGGTCCAGCTGGAGTACCTGGAGAGAACACATGCATGCACAGGAAGAACACATCTAGAACTGAAAAATCGGTTTGCATTCACACCAGCCCTTTTTAGTCTGCTTTAATCAAACTCTTGTTCATTTGCCTAGGAAGTCCGGTTCATTTGGGGAGGAGTGAATGCGCAATCGAACTCTGATGCAAACCAAAAATGCGAACTCTCATCCACCTACAAACCTAGGTTGTGGTTCGGTTGAAGTGAGCTCTGGTGAAGTTCAAATTAACATGTGAACGCCAGTCGGACCAGAGACGGCTCCAAAAGCAGGAAGCAGACTATAGCACAGGGCATTCTGGGTAAATAGAACCAAAACAAATGCCCATGTTTTGCACTAGCAGGGCAAATGACTTATAGTTCTTTGACAAAGACAAAAGAGAAAATCTAAAATCTGATGCCATTCAACAACTTTTGTTTACATTTCGTGAAGAAGGAAGTTGGACTCAGTGTCTCCTTCAGAGGTTTTCATGTCGCTTCCTTCAGTGGTTCTTGGAGCAGTGCCACCACAGGTGAGGAGGGGAAACAGCTTTTTCAAAGGGTTTAGTTCATTTGAAAGCGAACTGCACCAGCTGAAAATGTAGCAAATGTTGCAATGTTGGTCCCTAATCAAACAAAATCTACTGGACTTTCTATGTGGTATAACTCTACATAATAAGGATGCAGGCTTAATAAGACTAATGGACTAAAGGTTGGTCAATATTTGGGGCATTCATCAGCTAATTTTTGTTGCATAAACGACACTTAAGCAAAAAGCGAATGGTATAGTCAGTTATTCTGTCTTCACACATGGAAGCCATACCTCAGATAGTCTCTGCGGCAGAGGATAAGATTTGCCCGGGTGTACAGGGTGGAGCCGACCCGGCCCAGGCGGCAGTCGCAGCAGGCACACTTCAGACAGTCTTCATGCCAGAACCTGTCTAACGCCTGGAGCATGAAGCGGTCCCGGATCTTCCCATTGCAGCCGGCACAGCCTCTTGGCTTCTCTCTGGACTGGAGGGGAACGACAGACACGCCTGAAATGAAACAGAGAGAATAACCAAATAGAAACCTGAGAACTGATATTTTTCCAATTTTTCCCCAGTTTTCAACCTTAGGGTATAGAGCATCAGTAAACTTAATTCCAGTACTTCCCAGTTCCCAGTATCACATGAAACGTAGCGAATCAACTAATTGAGTTATTTGTAAAATTTCTTCAAAAAAAGGATTTACAGCAAAGCAAAAAGAAGCCACAAAGACTGAGTTCAACTGAATTAAGAAGTTTACATGTGTGCAACTTGATGTCAGTTTAAATCCTGCTGTTCTTCCAAGGCCTTAGAGGTTTGTTAGACAACACTGAACAGACAGCATCATACAGACCAAAAAACACAGCAGACAGGTCAGAGGTCAAGTTCTGCAGAAGTTTCAAATAACTTTGCTTAAAGTTTGATAAGTCATGCTTTAAGCTTCTCGCAGAGCTCTGTTCAATGTGTGGTCGCACCTTCAAAACTACCAAGACATGACCTAAACTGACAGGTGGGATAATTAGCGCATTAGCTGGAGAGATCCACAGGTTAAGTGGAAAAATCTGTTGATTGGACAATCAGTTAGGTCTGCAGGCGAGGTAGAAGTATCTAAATATCCAAGGGAAGAACTATACCCGATTGGACGAGCAGTCAGACACAATACGATTGGACAGGCATCATGGGCGTATCCCAATGTCAAAGACTGATTGGATGAACGTTGCGTAGGCGTTCCATCATAACAGGAAGTCATTGGGTAAAATTAATGTGTGTCATCTGACATTTTCTTTTCTTTGGTTTTAAAGGGATGGTATTATGTAAAATGTTAAAAACTCCTGGGTGGACCTAGTGCTGCCTTTGGGGACAAAGCTCCTCCTGAGAGATGAGGTTTCCAAGCTTCTGAGCTTCTGCCTCACAGAGCAGCCCTCCCCTCACTGCTCTCCCGCTCGGCTCCTTCAGACTAGCCAGCAGCAATTGGTAAACACCTGGTGGAACTGTGCATCTGCTGAGCTCATTATAGGATCTATTTCACAGTGTTGCACTGGTAAAATCATTGTTAAGGGGTTAATAGAGGAGCCATGTTGTGATGACTTCCTGAAGGCAGAGTTTCAAAAAGAGCAGGAGTTTTTAAACGGACAGAGGCCCAATTTCAAGGTATTAAATTATAAAGTCAAATTTCTTTTAATTTGATATAAATAGTACCTTCATAACAGCAGAAAGTAACATAGTTACTTGACTGTGCTGTAAAATGGCGCTCTGTGACTGGAAAACACATAATTCTGCTCCTGTAAGTATCACTACCTGACTTCTGTGGTATCATCTATTTATTTACTTTTGCAAGATTGCTGATTTAATAATTAATGGTAGCAATTTTTCAAAGTTATTTGTAAGTAGGGAGGGTTAAACGTTGATGAGTTCCTCCGTGCAACTTAGCAGTGTGGGGACAGAAAAACAGATCAAGTAGAGCCAGCCAATCAGTGTTTGAGCTGAAGAAACTCCTACGCTTTCAAGACTCCCACTTCATGTCTGCAGACAGTATGAAAGAGCTGCAAGAAACACTTGATTCTCACAGCAAACATGGTGGTGGCAGCATCATGGTGAGGGGAGGCTTCGGTGCTGCAGGACGCATAGAAGAAAAACTGACAGAGACTGCAGAAGATTTTTCTTTCACTGTCTGCAGGACAACAATCCAATGGAGCGGGTTACATCAAAGCATATTCATCTGTTAAAGGCCCAGTCAAAGTACAGATCTAAATCTAATTAGGAATTTTTAGAAAGATTGGAAAAGCGATGTTCACAGATGCTGTCCGTCCAATTTGGCCGAGCTTTTGCAAGGAGGAATGGGTGAACATGTCAGTCTGACAACAGCTTGGATGATTTTCCACTTTCTATTGAACTCCAGTGTTTGTTTGTTTTTTTACATAAAATATTTATTTCAGGCACATCCGTTTATTCTGAGTCAGTATTTCATTTTTTCCATTTCATATATTTCTACTTTTATATGACATGCAAGAAAATTCAACTTCATATCAGATCAAAGGATAATGCAGTCCAGCACATCCTAGTAAAAAAAAATTTTTTTTTAAAGTACAGCTGATGACAACCAGTGATGTAAGTCAGGAATATAGAGCTTTATGTTTATGGGAAAAGATCTGAGCAGATAAAGTACATTTCAACACTCCACATCTCAGTTCAAAAGGAACAAATATCCCTCTATACTTACTCTCCTCCTTGTCTAGCACCATCCTTCAGGGGAGGTAAAAGCGGCTACGATCCAACAAGAACAGAACTACCCGAACGTCTTCTTCTTCTCCTTCTGTTTGCTAAATAACCGCGCTAATCAACACGGACAGCCTCGGAGCGGAGCGTAAATGACTGCGATCAGTCTGGAGTCGCTCAAACTTCGGATCTGCTTCTCATTGTCCCCGGAGAACGGCGAGAAGAAAAAACCCGGTCACTCTCCGTCTTCTTACTACTAATAATAAAAATAATAATAATAAAAACTGAGTCCGTGGATGGATGGCAGATGACGTTTCTCGAGTGTCACCTCTTCGGCGAGGGGGAGATGTCCTTTAAATGTGAGTGCTGTCCTGGCTGATGTCAGTGCTTAAGTATGTCTGTATCTGCACGGACTGCCGCCGTTCCCTTCAGTGCAATGAGCCGCTCTGCACACACTCTGCACGGCTCCCTCCCTCCCCTTCTCTCTCTCTCTATCTCTCTCTCTCTCTCTCTCTCTGCCTCTCCCGCTGCAAAAAATTCAAAGAAAAAAAGAAAAAACTTCCACAGTCAAATGTTTTGTTGTTGTTTTTTTCAGTTCCTGCGTGCTAATTATATAAAGTCATTATGGTTCAGATCTGATAGGAACCTCCCCTCCCTCTTGGAATCAATTATTCAATACACAGTCACACACACCGGGACAGCCCGGGCCTGAGGTGTTTTAGAATGAGCTTATTCAACTCCAAGGACACCAATTATCTCCGGGGCTCCCTGTAGTCAAAGCCGGAGCTTTTCAGCACGACAGATGCACAGCCGGCTGACGCGCGCGAGCTCGTGCGCATGCGTGCCAATTCCTGTTCATGCTTTTATTTTTGCTTGTTTACTGTTTTTTTCTTTGTCTTTTTTTGTCAGAACTAGTAGTATATTCATTGTAAGTATATGCCGTGCTGAGGTAAAAACAATTGACCGCCATTTTTTATTTTTTTTTTAGGTTTCTTTTAACCCAGTCGTCGAATGGACCCTTGTGAGCTTTTTACTTCGCGCGCGGTTCCAGAAGGGGTTGAGTGGACCCCCACCTTCAAGTGGTCTACTGACCCTGAAAGCGCTTTTATAAGTTCTTTTCTCGTGTTTTCAGGAACTGACGCGAACGGGACACCCCCTTCCGCCCCATCGCCCGACTCTTCCCGAGCTGGTATGTGAGAGAGTCAAAGTTAAAATATTGTGTGAGAACAAGGTCCATTGGTAGAAGTACCGCCGGTTGGATTTGCTATCTTCAGTGGATCCCACAATAAAAATTGGCCTTGAGTTATTTAAAAATAATGATTGCACACTGATGGAGGAAATAGCAGTAAGCCAGGTAGGACTGGTTAGCAGGCTAACAACTTAGCATAATAAAAATAATTAGCTACTCTTACAAGTTTTGTACTTTTTAACACAGTAATAACACATTGACTAGTGGAGGTTGTATAATGCTGTATGTTAAAAAATATATATTGATATATAATCTATTCATTATCCTCATTAATAATGATTTTATTAACTGCTTATCCATTCAGTGTTGCATCACAACTAATGGAAATTCAGGGAGCCAAATTAAGCTAACAGTCATGTTTTTCTTTTTTTTATAGGAAGCAGGAGTTTGTTTAAATAAGAGTCAAAGATGTGAATACGTTGTTTTTTTCCCCCTAGCTACCACTCACTATGATTTAGACGCAAAGTGACCATCTTGTTGGTGAAAAAGCTCCAGCTGTACTCAAAATCCTTACTTCTTATAACCCTTTGCACCTCAAGCTTGAACATGCAACTTGTAGTTAAATGTAAATAGGAATGTTTTTTGTGTTTGTTTTTAAACCAAAAAAAAACAAAAAAAACAATCCAATCTCTGTTGTGCTGATGTTTTAAAATGTCAAACAAGATGGGAGTAGTTGGAAAGCTGCTACCACCTTGAATGACTTGTGACAAAAAAGCCGGGATATAATCACTATTTCAACCTATTTTTATCTATACTGTAAATATGTTATCAAAGACTTACCAGTTTCAGAACCATTTCTCATCCTGACTTCTGTCGTTATTTATAAAAGAATAAAAGGGAAAATGTTGTGTGGCAAAAAATAGTACATCTTTGCTACTTCCATAAGGTTTAAGCAGAAGGGGTATGCCCCCCCTCATTTCCCCTTTTGTGGCCTCCCTGTCACGTAAGTCTACAGTTTGTTTCCTGAAGCAGTCAGAAGCCAGAAATACTGGAAATCTCTCTTTAAAAAGACACAGAGTCGTATTAATGTCAGTGGAAACACATGAAATAGCGATGATTGATCGTGGGAGGTCTGGCAACAGTTTTCATGGCCGGACCTCCCACCGTCAGGCTCGTCGTCCTGGAAGTATTTAGATAGAAATACATAACTACCGCAGCTGAAGTGTTGTTATTGCCTCGGAACTCAAATCCCAGACCTGTTTAAGCCATTTTATTGCCGATTTATTAATAGAAAACACCGCAGGGAGTCGAGCATTAACGTTTAGTTCATATTGAACATCGCAGACGTTGTTATTCCTCCCTACTGATAGATTACTGGAACATTACTGGGATTTTTTTTTTAACCACAATCCATAAACAACACTGTAGCCTGCTTCCCTAATAGATCACCCGGCCCTAAATCTTCCTCATTAGGCGCTGTAGCATAAACAACTGTTCTAACATGGCCCCTGGATCAGGTCACACTAATTAACCAGCACCATCGACCAACTATTCCTCATTATCCGCCCTCTCGTCTGATCGCATATAGGCCGTCAAGACGGCTAACGATCAACGCGCTAATTAATCAGCTGACGAGGTGCAAGTGGAGCTCTAAGGCTCCCTCTTCATTTGCGAGACACATGGGAGCTAATTAGTTCAATTATTAATGAATCTAATTAAATATTTTCTGTAGGTAACCACGGTTGCGGTCTTGTCGTCCATCGTTGTGTGTTAGACCTCTTTTGTCCTCCCATTTTTGGCATACAGTCACTCCATTGCAAAGGCTGGCTTAGACTAAACATTACAGACTATTCATGGGATCCCATTAGTCTAATTGCACTAAAAAGCAGTCTGTGGATGACAGTAAAGGTGAGCTGTGGTTAGAGCTCTAATTAGCAGTCTGTGGAAATGGGAAGCCTGTGTGGCCATCTGCCGCAGCGTACCGTCATGTCGTCTGTGTGAAAAGGGCAGAGACAAATTTAGGCATGTTGTATAAAAAAAGAAAAAATGGCCCGTTTTGTCTGATACAATACCACGAGAGGCCTCGGCGCTCATTGGAGCACATTTTTAATGAGCGACAGGCTGAAATTTAAAGGAGAAAATACAAGAAAGTCCTCCCAAGATGTTCCACCTTAAGATACTTTAGTATGTCTCTAAATCCTTCTGGACGTATCTGAATGCACAGGTTAGGAAAAAGTTCCAAATGTGTCCAAATGGTACTTGGTTTTCACAATTTATAAGTAAAAATCTGAAAAGTGGTGTGAAATCTGGTGCAAACAACTAAATTCAGTAGTTAATAGTCTCCACCTAAACTCCAGCTGTTCAGTGAAGGCCTCACGGGTCTTTTAGAGAACTTTTGTGAATGAACAGAATCATAGGGACCCAAACAAGTGGTAAAGATTTGGAGGAACTATGGTGTTGTAGTCTGGTGGACTCGGTTCCATTGCTTTCACACTGCACAGTGTCAAATGAGTAAAACCCCTTGAGGAACTTGTTCCCCTCCTGGCCTCAGGGTGCCACTGAAGGAAACAACAGGAAAACCTCAGAAGACACTGAGCGCAACTTCTTTCTTCATAAAATGCAAACAAAACTGGAGTGGCGTCAGATTGTAGCAGTCGGAGGATTTCTGTTTTGTCTTTGACTAAAGGCCACGAACCATTTCTCCCCCTAGCGCTAGACCTGCTTGTTTACTTTGGTTGTATTTACCCAGAATGCCCTGCACTTTAGTGTGGAGGTGTGAATGCTCAATCAAACTCTGATGCGGAACAAAAAGCAAACGATGGTCCGCCTAAAAACCTATGTCTCGGTTTGGTTGAAGTAAACCCTGCCCCGGTTTACCCAGAGCAGGGCATTCTGGGTAAATACAACCAGACCATGAAGAATTCAGAGAGCATTTGGAAAATATTAGATTGTTCTTCAAGGAGGCAGTTGGATGATTTTTAAGTCTTGGGGCTTAACCTTTCAAAATTTGAGTAAGAACATCTCAGCTAATTTTAAAACTTCATATACATTCTGCAATAAATCACCAGTCACTCATGTAATATGGTACAATGTACACAAATAGAAAACCTCAACCCATAGCTTTCTGATTTCCACAAGGGGAAATGTTTCCTTTTGCCCTTTTGACAGTTGATCCAAAGGGTAAGTGTTTCACCACACTGTTATATAAAATTTCCATCTTCTTCCAACAAAATGAGCAAATCAGTCTGTGTTCTAACCAATGCTTATTAATGCAGCTAAATCAGCAGCCAGAACTGATGAGAAGAGAATGAACGCAGATCCTTTTCCACGGAGATTCGCTTCTCCGGAAGCCAACCAATCATCAGTCGGTCGGTCAGTCTGAGCTGCTGAGATTTAGATTGGAGTGGGGATGTGCTCACCAGCTGTGTGATGAAGAGAGACTGATCGATGGGCTTTCTGATTGGTTCTGGGGGTTGTCTCAGCAGCATCCCGTCCCCTCAGTTCTGACGGCCGTCCTCGAGCGAGCTGAAAGCAATTGTCCCTCCACACGGGGGCCAAATAAGACCACTGACCTGAAGCTGAGGGGCCACGGCCCGGAGCGTCCGTCTCCGTGCACCTGGATTCCTCGCTTTTCTTTATTAGGGAAAGACGACGGAGACAGATGGAGAAATGGAATCGATTTGGATTTTTCTCCACGTTTGTTGTGCGTTCTCTGACATGTAAGCTTTTCGGGCGAAAACATTCACAGTTTCTGTGCAGGCAACATGAACGCTTGTGTTATCACAAAGCAGCGTGGGTGAAATCAGGATTTTATCCAAATTATATCTCAGGATAATAAAAATTATATTTAAAGTATCATGTTTTTAGCTGGAAATCACCACAAGGAGAGGAATCTGAAGCCACTATTTCTCTGGTTACCAAAACTAAATAATCAGTTTCAGCAAAGCAATGCTTCACTGATATTACATGACAATAAGAACTGTAAGTGGCAACATTTGCTGTAAACGGTTCCTATATGGCAACCTAAAATAACACTGAGCTGGACACCAAGTATGTAGCCTGGCATTATTTGAAAACAAAGGCTATAAAGGCAAATCATGTTTTTTTAATATTTTCAGTTTTACTTGCAAGAACAAACTGAGCATGACATATAATAAAAAAATGTTTACATTTAGATGTTAAATAGAGACGTAAAGTAAAATCAATTAAAAAATAAATGTGTGCTGTCTGAATGGTCTCTTTGAAGGCTTCTAGTTGAATCTTGATCTTTAAATTAAACACAGTGATGTTTTAAATCAGTTCAGGAACGTGAACTAGATTCAAATACAGAACAAGACTTTAAAGGATTTTAAAGGTCATTCAAAGCTCCTAATTAAGGCTGAGTTGTTTTCCAGTTTAATGTTTTAATTTCTAGATGCTTCCACAGTTTAAAAAGTGTGCATAAAGTTGAAGGAGACAAGTATATAAAGGTTAGTTTGTTCATTTCCACAGCGTGCAAATAGCCTCTGTTATTCATTTGGAAAACTAAGTGACATGAACAGCAAAAGATGGAAGATGGAAGTCACCTAGGGCCGGGCGATATGGCTGAAAATTGTTAATTATTGATTAGTTTTTTTGTTTTAAATATCCAAAACATAACAAAACTGGTGACATGATCTTCTCTCTTTTATCCACTATTCCCTCTGTAGCTCTTGTACTCATTTTCTCCTTTCACTCCGCTCCATTCTTTTTACTTGTATACAGTTGTGAGGCATGGTGGCAAACACTTCTCCTGTACTCAGGCATACTGTGTGTATTCTATGGACCACACACTGGTCTGGACAGTTGAGATTTTAATAGTCAAGCTAGCACTGCTGTCTCTCAACTCTATTGTTTTGTCTTGTCGCATAGAAAACAGTTAAGGAGTGAATATTTTTAAAGTTTTGACGCCAGAATGAGATTGCTTTTTTCGGCCGTATCGAAACTGTTGTATTTCCCAAAACTGGAATGGAAATACTTCTTTTGAATTACATGAGTTACATGATCAACAACCGGCTGTTACTGCTGACGGGAACAACGAAGACGATGAAGATGATGTTTTTTTTAATGACATCGCATGAAAAAACTTAGGCTACATTCTGCAGTCTTAATTGACCCAAATCCAATTTTTTGGGTGTAAAATCGAATGTATTCCAAATATATGTGCCTTGCCTGGGAAGAAGAAGTTAAAGTGCTCAAAAGTGTTTGTGGAAGTAAACATGGATGCTAACAGTGGAGCACAGCTTACAATTTGGAAGTTGTTGTCTGACTGGAGGCAGCACATTAACAACTTAATCCTTATTATCGTCCACCATGGTTATTGTTTTTCTTCCCCCTTGTTTGTATCGGGGCACAAAATTGTGACCACACATCCAAGTAATGAGGGTCGCATACGAAAAAATCTGACCTGTGATATTCAGATAAGATCAGATACAGGTTGCATAAAAAAATCGTATTTAGGTCGCTTCAGGCTGCAGTGTGAACGCAGCCTTATTCACATGTGATTTTAATTGCATTTCTTGTTCAATAGAAAAACAGCACTCGTGTTTAGTTTTTTTTTTTCTTTTACTTTAGCAGAATATCTACAAAGTTTTGCACACATTTGTAATGAAAACACAGTCGGTGCTGCGTGGGACGTTCAAAGCTTTACATTTTATTTTGATTTGATTTTTATAATCAACTGTGCTTTAAACTTCTCCACAACCTTGTCTCTGTCTGCTTTGTTCCTCAAGATGCCATTTGTTCTCTAATGTTGTCCAACAAAACCTGTGAAGCTTTCACAAAACAGCTGGATTTATGATAGATAATTGCACACAGGTGGCTCTGTTTGGTAATTAGATGACTTCTAAAGGAAACTGACAGTAATGTGTGTGTTTTCTAAGGGTAAGGTGGATTTAACTACAAATGTGCACAGCACTTTTTATTTGAAACAAGAAAACTTATTTATATTTTAAATTCGCTTCAAAATTTTTCACCAGTTTCTGTTTTGTGTACTAGATGTGATCCCAACAGAAAACAGTAAAAGTAAAAGTTTAAGGGGTCTGAAGAGTTTTGTACAGTTGTTTTTTGGATACATTTACAATTTCTTTGTCATTTTGTGACTAAATCTTTGAAAACTCATTTTGCAGCCCTTTGTGTTGCTTTCAAAGACAAGGTGATCATCTATTTGACAAAAGGGGAAAATAGAAATTGCGAGTATTTATACAGAGCCATAGATCATTTCTTGGGGACTGTTTATGTTCTAATCCATTTTTCTTTCCTTTGCCGTGTTATTTTCTACCACTTGTAATTCTTCATTGCCTTGTGGAACCTCATATTGTGTTCTGTTCCTCCCTTCTGAAACAATTCCATTGATTTTCAGATTTGTTCTATGCACAAAAATAAGTGACAAATAAACGAAGGAAGAAACGTTTTTGGGTCCAGATCATCTAAATGTCTGAAAATGGCCTCTCTTCAGTAGAATGCAGCCATGATTGATGTAGTTATACTTTATCTGCTGTGACTCGTGCTTGAAAATGGCTCTTAAATTCTTAAATTACTCTATTACACGGTTTATCAAGTACCAAGAACAAGGAATCATTAACTCCCCCTTCCAAAAAAATCACAACGTGTTTTGATATCTGTGCTGCCATCTAGTGGAAAACCTTCAACTAATTTGTTTGTGGAAATTGCTTCATACTTTTTCCACCTTGGTCGGGCTATTTTTAGGAAAAACACAGGAAATTCCTCTTTTGCAACAAAAAAGCCTTCTCTAGTGGTTGTCTAATTAAAGTTAAGCTCAAAGCATCGGCGCAGTCCGCTGAGGTACTAAAATAGCTGTCGAGTTATGAAATGTTTAGCTTTAATTTCCTCTGGAACAAGCAGTGTTTTTAGAGTATTCACAGAGGGAACATTGGTCTCCGAATCGCTCTATGTAAGAACACGTTTGTAATTGTGTGCAGAGTCTGAGGGGTGACTTCACTTGAAGCGGAAAAACATCAGAGTTCATGTCCTGAACTGGAACGTGGCTTTCTTCATTCGTTTTATAACCTTTTCTTTACTAACTACATAAAATGTCCAACATATACACAAAACTCACACTATAATAAAAAACTGCAATATCACTAGAATGTTATATGACCAAACATTACAGCATTGTAATGGAACAAAATTACTTCCATACAATAAATCATATAAAATTAACTAAATTGTCAAACTTGCAAACTTTAGAAGAAAATTCTGGAGGATTAAAGTGAGAAGGGAAGTGGTTTTAAATTGTTGTTCAGAGTTTCTTTGTTTTCTGGATTAAAATAATGACTTCTGTGTGAACTGTGAAAACTCCCGTCTCTAATAGCTGATAGATGAGCGCTACAGCACCAGGGCTCAATTATGAAATTATGTATCTCATGTATACATGAGATATAATTTCTGACACACATACATGTGTTCACATCTAAAATGCTGCCAGGATTTTTAACGACTTGCTGCATGAACAAACTTACTCACGCGTGATTTTAATGCCATTTCTTATTTAATTGAAACATTGCAACTGCGATTTTTTTATTTTTTTTAAACAGTGATGCCTGTTGAAAGCCTTTTCTGTCAGTCTGCACTGTATCCGTGGCTATAATGTACACTATGAAGGTGTGGTGTAGTGTGAAACTGCTTGGAGTTTGCAGACTTGATAAAGTGCTTTACAACTTGGGCCACCACCATCGCATCCCAGAGATGGCTTATTAGGGCCACTGTAAACAGGAAAAAAGAGGAGTATATTTATCTCAGTCTTTTTTTTATTAAAAAAAACAAGGACATTTCTGACTTTTCAAATTCAGAAGTTTTTTGGTGGAAATTTACTCCTCATTTTTTCCAGTGACCCCAACACGCTGGTACTTCCTCGTTGGCTGACCGCTACATCCGTCGCGCTCTTCCTGAACGCCGTGCTATAAGACCGGGAAGGTTGCCAAACTTCATAAAAGTACATTTAGAAAAAAATCTAAACGTGGCTTTCCAGAAATTAAATTTAATAGCAAAAACTATTATTTCAACACACTTTCATTGTTGTAAGAAGTAAACATACACGACAAATAAATTTAAGCCAGCATATAAGCTGCTTTGCCTTTTCCTTTATTATTTTGTGGGTCAGAAGCTAAGATGTTTGGAAATCAGGGATTAGAATTAGAAATTCACATTTTTGTCTGACAATGGAGAAATTCCAGCATTGATACCAAACAGAGTTGTTTGATAGTGGCTTGTTTGGTGAAAAAACAAACTCAAAATGTCACGTAAAGTACCAGCTGTAAAGCACAGTGGTGGAGGGTTGATGATGATTTGGGTTGGCCACTCTTATGTTTAACGGTTGTTGGGGGAAAAAAATTCTTGAGAAAATATATTTCTACATGAACATTGAGTTCAATTTTATTCAGTAAAAGATTTCATTTGGTACTGCTGCATCGAGGAATGAATCACTAAAGAACACATGACAACATAAAACATATTTTACCCAAATCCTTCATTCAGTCAACACTACAGCTTTCCAGGAGTAGCATTACAATGAAAGTGTGTTTATAACCCTTTACATGATGTACATCATATATATTTTTCAGTAAAATACATCAAAACCAGCTGTTTCTCCCCGTCACTCCCTCCCATAGCGACACTTAGCTAACAGTTCACAGCGTTGCTAAAGTTGCTAAATGACGAGGTGTTCTCTACTAGCATCTCAAAAGTTTAATCCAGACAGGAAATATGTACAATCTCACACTGAGACTCTTGTCTTTAAATTTTGCTCAGGTTTCAGCCAAAATCTGAATATTCACTTTAAGAAAAGTTACAAAAGAAAAAAGGTTAGTACAGGGAAACCATGCAGGAAATGCCCTGCTATACCAGAAGAAAAGTTATAATACAGGACAGCAGCCAGCAGCGCACAATGGCTTTGAACTTAGAGGGTTTTTTTACATTTGGCAAGCTGCAGTGTTAGCTGGCTGTCGTCTCCATCCTATCTGGAGCAAAACCATAATTTAAGAGTTGGCCAGACTTGGACATTTTTCTATTATTGGCTTTTGAACCACTAATCATTTATCATACGTGTTGTCGTGTTGTAAAACTGCCTCAAGCTACAACAAGAACTGTGTTCTGAGTGAAAAAAACCAAACAAAAAGAAAAGCAAATTGAAGCATTTCAATTTGAGAAAGGAAATGTTTGAGTTATTGCCTCTTTTTCTGCAACCATCTGCTCTGTAGATCCTTCAGGACCTAATCAATAAACCTCTGGTTGTTTGATGAACACCCTGTGCACATGCATGTTTTATGTGTGCAGGTGTTTGTTTCTTCTCTCCAAGTATCAGTTTGATTTTTGGAAAAAGCAGTTTAAGATAGACACAATAGCTGGATTCACAACAAGAAAACTTGGGGCAGAAAAAGTGCTTATTGCAGGATTGTTTTCTAAACTACATTTGTAAGTATTTTTTTTTACTTAAGGCAACTTGCTAGGGGGCCATACAATCAACCGCCATCAGGAGTCACCTAAGTGGTACACAGAGCTCTCCTGCTTGTAATTTAATCTTTCCCCAGGTTCAATTATTCTAACTCTGGAGGAGATACAGGGATCATACGCTCTGTAAATGTAGGCTGTAAAATGAGAAAGGAAATGTTCAAAAACGCTCTGGTCAGACGAGACCAAAGTTTAACTTTTTGGCTTCAATGTATGTCTGAGAACTAACACATCATCTACATTGTGCAACACTAGTGACCATAAAATTGTGCAAATTGGAATTACGAACATGAATCCGCTTAACGGAAACAGGACAAAACCTTAATAAAACGTTTTTGTGCTATGAAAAGTTTTTGGCTGTATCAAAATGTGATTAACAACCGAATTATACCACTGCAGAAAAGAGGAAGAAGACAACAGGAAGTGGTAGCAGGATGTTGACGTGGCATGTGTTTTAATTGACTTATCTCGTGAACATAATTATTCACATGTTATTTTAATTGCGTTTTTTATGCGACGGAAAAAAATGCAACTGTAAAATAGTTTTTTCAACATTAGCAAAAAACCAGAAATGTCAACATTTGTAATGGAAATGCAGCTGCTGTTTTGCTTTAGATCAAAGCATATTCAGGTGTTCCTAGTCAATGTCCAAAGCTAAATCCTATTTAAAATACTTTGACTAGACCTAAGTTTGGCCAAAGAGGATGTTTCATTTGCAAAAACTATTCATAAACCAAGCTTCATTTTACAGTTATGCACCACTTTGTGTGTCTAATGTTGTTTAATCCCAAGAAAGTAGATTAAAGTCGTGACAAGTGGAAATGTTCAAGAGTACGTTTCAACGGTACTGAACAAATACGAAGCTTTGCTGCTTGCCTCGACTATGACTTTGTTGGAAAAGAAGAAGAAGAAAAAAAAGAAGCAACCTCCCAGTTCACCCAGCTTGACTTTGTTTTCAGGTCATACTGCAGCTGGGACCGTCACACTGATTTCCTCCTCTTGCCAAACACGTTGTTGATGAGCTTGGCCATGGACTTGGAGCCGCTGTAGCGCCGGCGGTCGGCTCGGTACTTCAGGTGCTCCATCACCTGCCGGATGAGCCGGGTGAAGAGGCCAGCGATGTCCTGGTAGCTCTCCGCCGCCGACACCTCCTGGAAGTGGCAGCGGGTTTCCTGCGCCAGGCTGCGGCCTTCGTCCTCTCGTACCTGCCGGACGTGGCACAGGTCCTGCTTGTTACCCACCAGGCACACGGGAACGTCCGAGTCCCTGAAACAGGAAGGAGTGTTAACTTGGACGGACACTATCGTTGTATATCCTACGTTTGGACACATTTCTTAACCCAAAACGTGCCCCTTCTGAGTGTGAGATGGCTGTTCTAGCTTGGTATTGATCTTAATAATGTATCGATCCCGATAATGGAAAAAATTTTACTTTGTAGGAAAAGGATGTTATTCATTACAGATCCAAAACTTTAAAACAGATTTTGCACATTTGCTGTATCAAAAGAAAGACATCTGGTTTTCCTTTTTTTTTTTGTTCTTGATTGAGCAAATTTACGCAGTTATTAAAACAGCATTTGGGTCACTGTCTTTCAGAACACTTGCTAATATTTAATCAAGTTTAATCAGGTAAGTCGAAGCTGATTTGGGCACAGCACAGTCGGCTTTTCAGTAAAACTCTCTGGACAGACATGGATCTATACAATAACTGCTTGTTTATAAAAAGGATAAATACATTGTGCCATATTTAACATTTTCAATTGTAATAAAATGATTATCTTAATTTACTGTCTAATTCTAAGCTTTGTTCTTTTATTTCACTTTATATTTAAAATTCCTAGCTACACTTTCTGAAACATTTGAAAGATGTTGCTGTTTATGTTTTACCTGTTTGACCAAGATAGTCAACCTATTGTTTTTGTCAGTTTCTTTATTATTTATTTTACAGTGGCTGGAAATGTGATACAGGACGGTTCAGTGTCAGGAACTGGAAACCGGTGGCCCGGTGAAAACAGCATTTAGAGTCCTGTTTTATGGACGCTAAAATTTTATGTAAATTTCTAAAAATTTCTACACTTTTAGAAATTACTCAAAACCAAACAGAAGAATCAGTGCAATTCAAGTCACCTGGACTGACTGAACCAATTAAAGTTGATTTTACACGTTTAATCAAACTTGTGATGCTACTGGAGAATTTACATTTGTCAGTGTTTTTTATTTTTTTTAAAAAGAAGTACCCTTTTAAGTCAACTCAGCACTGTTTTTCTGTACTGTATCGTATCGGCGGATACTAAACTTCAGATATTGGTATCGGAAGTGAAAAAAATTGATCTGTGCCTCACTGGTCGTAGCATACAAACACCACATTCAGATCCTCTTCTTATCTTCACCATGAGTTAATGATCTCCTCCTTCACTCCTCTTCCCTTTCCGTTGGTAAGATGAATTTTCCTGAGCCGGGTTGCCCAACTGATGTGGCTCGGCTTGTTTTTCTTGCCCATCGTCTTGAACCGTTAATCAGGACGCACACGGCTCAGTCGGGACATTCCACAAACTCAAACCTGCACAAAGATTCCTGTTCATCTTCAAAGAGACGAGTGGAGCTTTTGTTTTCGTTCCGTCTTCCCGCCGTATTTTTTTCATTTTCTTTTTGCGGATGTCTGGGTGCAGTGTAGATGTAAATAATTCCAGCCACTTCACCGCTTCCCTTGTTTAAATATTCTCTCATAAACCAACAGTCTAGCTATGAGAAGAAATGCCTTTCGCTGGAGGTGGCTGGTTAACGATTTCCTTCGTCAGAGTGAATGTAACGCTGTTCATTAATATTTACATTGTGTGAGAATCATATGGTGCTATGGAATCAAAAACAAACAAAAAGTTTCTTCTTAGGAATCTTTGCTTTTTGTTTGCTTTTTAAATAAAAACATCTTTGCTTGTTCAGTTTTATCATTTGGTGAAAATACAGCTATGAATATCACAAATGTTATTTTTGTGCTTTTTCCACATGAGGACAAGTTTGGAATTTCTCAAAATAACGACAAACACCTCGATGATCGCCATCATATGTTAGGTTTACAACACGGCAAAGGAGTAAAGTCAACAGGCCTCAGTTAGCAAGTTAAATGTCAAACTTCATGACAGAACAAGGAGAAAAAGAATAAACAATTATGCCATGATTTTAGTAGGGATACACAATATACTGCTTCCAACATCTGTATTGGCCGATATTAGTAATTTTTTAACAAATCAGTGTTGGCCCCATAAATAAAACCGGGCCGATATGAACAACCGATACTTATTTTTATCTTGTTGCCGTCTATTTCTGGTGGGGTTTTTTGTTGTTTTTTTTCCCCAAGGTGTCAAAACGGTATTAAACTATATGTAATAACAGAAAATATCGGTTATCAACCATAACAGCAATATTAGTATCGGATATCGATATCAGCTCAAATTGTCGTACGGATGCATCCCTAGTTTTTAGGAGCTGACATTAAAAATGACTTTTCTCCCTGAACAACTTTTGGAAAGTGATTTCTGCAATCAGTTATAGCAGCTGTTCAGCATGAAGAGTTGCTTTTAGAAATGTAGAAATATTATAGTCAAACCAAACAGAAGGATTGACCCAAATAATGTTTCTTAGTGTTTCTGTCTTTATAATTTAGCTTTTGTTAATTTTGTAGTACATTACATATTTTGTTAATTAAAATCATTTTTATATTTTCTCTGTCAAAAAACAATCTGCCATCTTTTGTTACTTTTGAATAACATGGATATTTTTTAGTTTTTCCTAAAGAATTTCAAAGATTAATTTCAAAATTTCAGAGGGTTGTTTTAGCAAATTTTTGGCTTTTCAAACTCAGAAATTTCCACTTTTTTTGTTTTGGTAAATTTTTGAGTTGTTTTTTGCAGAAATCTACACCTCTTTTTTCCCCCTTAACAGTGACCCCAACATGCCGCTGTAGTTACGTTCTGCACTCTCAAATCCAGAACAGAACTGCCATAAATGTTTGCAGTAGGACATATTTCTACCTGTGAAACATTTAGAGGCTAGCAGGAAAAGCCTCAATGCTAAACAAACCTCTGATCTGTCAGAGCTCCTTACAGCTACATGACATCAGCATGCTGTTATTTCTGATCTACTGTTGAGTTGCGCTGCCTCTGACCCTTTGCAGCTGTCGGTGCGAGCCTCCCGGATCTGGCACAGGATGCTTTTGGCGTTGATGAAGGAAGAGCGGTCACTGATGTTGTACACCACCACGAAGCCGTCGGCCCAGTCCACTGGCTCCTCCAGGATGCACCGGGCCTCGGAGCTCTGCTGACAGGGGGACAAGTGCTTTTATTCTGAAATCACAGTTTCAGAGTAAAACAAAAAAGAAACTAGTTTTATTTCAGTTTTGTATTCTAAACATGTTATTAGCTAGATGAGTTTCTATAAGTGTGTTATGCAATTTTCATGTCTGAAAGCTGCGTATATCACCTTGTAGAAGTATTCATACACACTATTGTTTCCACGTTACAACCACGCAAAAAGCATTCAACCAACTTTGGATGTTTTGCCCTTTTATCACCCTTTATCTCAGAGAATAGACTTTAAAGTACTTCTGTTAGTTTCTATTTGCTAAATGTCACAATAATGAGAAAATATGTCAGAGATTTATTTATGAATGTGTTCAAAATCAGAAGCTGACATACAGAATGATTACTGTCTCTTTAAACAATCAGGGAAAGCCCAGATGATGACGTGGTGAGGAACTGGTGCACTTCATAAAATAGATGACGTCATGAGGAAAACAACATTACGTAAAAATATAGAAGCAATGTCCAAATCAATCAATCAATCAAGGTTTATTTATTAATACTTATTAATGTTTTTAATATTAGAAGTTTACCTAAATTTCCTCTGTATTTGTCAGCATTGCCTTTGAACTGTATGAATTTTATGAAGTGCACCAGTTCCTCACCACGTCATCATCTGGGCGTTCCCTGATTGTTTAAAGAGACAGTAATCATTCTGTATGTCAGCTTCTGATTTTGAACACATTCATAAATAAATATCTGAAATATTATTTTTCTCCTTATCCTGGCATTTAGCAAATATAGATATTTTTGGTAAATCTAACTGACCTAAAACAAGAAAACTTTGGTCTGACTTTACTTCAGATGCTGAGAAAAAAAAATGAGTGTGTGCCTTTGTATTTAGTGTATGTAAACATCTGATTTCACCTGCACATGCCACACTTTTCAGATTTGAAGTTTTGTTGTTGGAATGTGAAACAAACAAACAAAAAAACAAACAAACAAAAAATCTGTCCCAGGTATTGCTACTTCCTGGCTGAAAAAAAGTCAGTCTAGAAGCTGACTTTTGGCTGTCTATAGTAATGAATGCTGAAAATAAGAGAACTCCAAACAGGAACGTACAACCTGGACTCCATATCATAGCCTTGACATGTGAGTCGTACCTGAGAGCAGGGGTCAAACACTTCGAGGTTCAACTGCCTGCCGTCGATCGACAACCTCTTATGGTACAAAGAGTCTGTAAACGAGACGCAAGAGAGAGAAAAAGGACAAAACCTATTGGCATAAGTATCATTACAGCGTTATTCTGTTTGATTTGTGCATTTTGTGTTTATGAGTGACATACAGTTTGAATTTGACCTTTAAAAAATTACTACAACCTTGTTTGTTAGCATGGATTTCATATAGAGACGCAACGATCCGATATTAATATTGCTCTTGATATTGAAAAAAAATATCAGGTATCAGTGACAATGTTCCTGATCCGTAAGAGTAGATCTATTTAGTCTAATTCTATGGTTTGTACTCTGAGCGACGTCATGCTTTATTATTTATTTTACATTATATTTAGATTTCCTAATTGTAGTCAACCTTTTGTTTATGTCAGTTTCTTTATGTTTATTTCTCATTGGCTGTTATGCTCCTGATTGCACTGACTAAACAAATTACAGTTGTTTTTACATATTTGACCAAACTGTTGGTGTATTGAAGAGTTGCTGTACTGGTGCAGAGTCATCAGGTAAATTTGTAATTCAGTACCTTTTTCCACTTTGCCATTTTCTACCCTCATTTTGTGCCCTGTCATTATTGTTTTTGGTACTTTTTAATAGGTACGTCAAATAAATATCTAAAAATGCACAAATATTTTGTATAATTCCAATTAATTCTATATTATTTGAGTTTTTTGATGGGCAGGTGAAAAACTCAAATAATGACCTTTTCCCATTAACCATGAATTGTTTGGTACAGCTGATTTCTGGAAAAATTAAAGACTATGAATTGAACTGATCACACCAAATTAATTCTGAGTAGTTTCTGTTTGATTAAAAGTCATAAAGATCCATCAGAAAAAAAATACCTTAGGTCATCAGGTTTCAGGTTGGATAAGAAAAAATTTTCAGTAAAAGGAAACGACCAAAATGATAAAGAGGTGAAACGACCTTCACAGATCTGCATCTGATAGCAGCGCTAGGTATTTATGGTCTTCTACTAAAGCTTTTAAAAGCAAAAGGCTTTCTGAAATCTGGAAACACTTACTTGCATTCGAGGCGTATTCACCAATAAAGCGTCTGGTCAAGAATCGCACAAGGACAGCTGGAGGAAACAGAAGAAGAAGAAGAAAAAGGAAAAAAAGTCAGAATATAAAACACGGGATCATTAAAGTCTCATTTCTCACAGGTGGGGGGAATGAGGTGTGACAAGAATAAAAAATAAATAAAAAATTCATTTATCTGTGCAGACCCAACACAGAGCCAACAGTTTCTGGGACTGGAACGGTGAAAACCTTTAGCTCCACATCAAACAGGTCACGCCGCTTTGCTGGAAAAGTTTTGTGTGCATGTTTGGCACAGCGAGGTGAGCGGTCCATTCACACCCACATGAAACCGACTGACCGGGGCCAGTTCTGGTCCCACAGACAACAAGTTTCAATTGTTGGGCTGGGGTCCCAGAACAGAACATTAATGACGGTAGGCCTCAACACACACACACACACACACACACACACACAC